CCACAGATCTGCCTCTGGACGCTTCACCATTCTTTTCTCTTCTTACTATTATTAGATTCCCAAGTGCCTTAATCTTCACGCTTTTCTTTTTCTTTTTAACCCTCAAATTACTTCTGGGTATTTTCCCCCTTTCCAATATTCTTCATGTTGGGGCAAAAACAGATGCTTTCCCTCGTCCATTTCATCAAAACTTGGCCGATTTGCTTCATGGTCTAAGAACCTCTGTTTTTTTTTTTTTTAAACCATCATCTTGACATTGGCAAATCAAAGGAGGGAAGCATTTGATTATCCAAACGGTGATGATTTAATTTTATTTGGTCTTCGATTTCTCTCATTCATACTTAGAATTCAAGGGGTGGGTTTTGGCTTTTTGACTCTGTGTGTGATTGGGGGGCCCAACATCATGTGTGCAAATTCTAATGAAGGAGGCAAAGGAAAGTGGAAATTGTCGGATGTCAATTTTACAGCTGCACTTTGATATTGTTTCATGGCCTTCATTTCACAATTTCATCTCTCCATATCTTTTTGTTTCACGCTCCTTTATCTGAATCATCTTTTTTCCTTTCCTTTCCTTTTCCAGCCACCCACTGTCCCCCCAATTATAGGGATTTGATTTCAAGATCCAATTAACTGGATCTGTTGTTTTCTCCATCCTTTCGGATTGTAAATTGTAGGGGTAGCTGCTTATGCTCACTGTTGAGTGTTCTCTCTGTTTGTAGATTCAATGGATTTGTTTCAGGCTTCAGTTTTTTAGGTGCATGAAAGTAGAAGATGTGTTTAATTTCAGCACTTTAGAAAACTGTTAAGCATTTCAAACCTAATCAATGGATGCAAACATTGATATAACTCAGATAAGAAATAAGCAATGGATGATATTGACTATGTGACTGATGCTTTTTCCTCTTGTATTTGGGATTGTTGATAGGGAATCATGAAGTACAAAGATGGGAAACCCGGATATAATGCAGATAAGAATGCACGTGTTCTTCCCATGACAATCCTATTGTTTGTTCTATGCGGGTTCTCGTTCTATCTAGGTGGAATATTTTGTTCTGAGAAAGAGGGAGTTGATGTCAAAACCTCCATGGACATCGGAAACTCGGTTGCATCACCGAGGGATACGGCGGTTTCCCCTCTCCAACTTAAATCTGTTAAATTCCAGGAATGCAGCAGTGAATACCAAGATTACACTCCTTGCACAGATCCAAGGGTATTTCCCAGGCGCTTCCATGATTTTCATATCTAACGATATCACATCGTGTAAATCTACATAATCTAATTTGTACTTGTAAGTGCAGAAATGGAAGAAGTATGGTTTGCATCGGCTTACTTTCATGGAACGACATTGCCCGCCTGTGTTCGAAAGGAAGGAATGCCTAATTCCACCACCAGATGGGTATAAACCACCAATCAGATGGCCAAAAAGCAAGGATGAATGTTGGTACAGGTAATATGGTTTTTCCATGATGTTCTTTTCTTTTCTAAAGAACCTCCTCTTCCAACATTATAGGTTTCAAATTCCATCTCTTCGAAGTTTCACTGATTTCATGTTGACTGGACTTTAGGAACGTACCATATGATTGGATCAATAAACAGAAATCTAATCAGAATTGGCTGAGGAAAGAAGGTGAAAAGTTCCTCTTTCCTGGTGGGGGAACTATGTTTCCTCATGGTGTTAGCGCGTACGTTGATCTGATGCAAGATCTGATTCCAGAAATGAAAGATGGAACTGTTCGAACTGCCATTGATACTGGTTGTGGGGTGAGTCCTACTTTCAATTCCATCTCGTGTTCTCTGCAACAAACTATGTTATCCATTCATTTGAGCCCCATAATGCCATCTTTGCATTTAGAGGAAATTTTAATTGTTTATATCCAACAAATTTTCTAGCTTCAACTGCTTATTTTGAATAGTCAAGTCACCTGAGGCAAATCAGCTGTCCCAAAATGTTTTTCATATCATATTCTAAATGATTTCAATGAGAGGAACAAAAAGTTCTGATCAGTATGATGAATAAAATTCTAGGTTGCAAGCTGGGGAGGAGATCTTTTAGACCGTGGAATTTTAACAGTTTCTCTTGCACCAAGAGATAACCATGAAGCTCAAGTCCAATTTGCATTGGAACGTGGAATTCCAGCAATTCTTGGCATCATTTCCACACAACGGCTTCCTTTCCCATCGAGCTCCTTTGATATGGCTCATTGCTCAAGATGCCTTATCCCATGGACTGAATTTGGTATTATTTTTTTTTCCAAATTTTGAATCATGTTTAATTTCTTTTAAGATTGCCTAAGTGGGTTTTACCCATCAGTAGAAACTCAATGAATATAGATTATATGTATATTCTACCTCCATACTCAATTTTTTAAGTTTAGTTTGTTATTGGTTTCTATCCTTTTGTTTTGCTTAAATTTTTGTTCCATCATTCTCTATTTTCAGGTGGAATATACTTGCTAGAAATCAACCGAATTCTCCGTCCTGGAGGCTTCTGGGTCCTATCTGGCCCCCCTGTCAACTACGAAAACCGTTGGAGAGGATGGAATACTACTGTGGAAGAGCAAAGATCAGACTACGAAAAGTTGCAGGAACTCCTAACATCAATGTGCTTCACCCTTTACAACAAAAAAGATGATATTGCTGTCTGGCAGAAATCTTCTGATCCTAATTGCTTCAGCAAGATTGCTGCTGACGCTTTCCCTCCTAAATGTGACGATAGCCTTGAACCAGATGCAGCATGGTACAGTCCATTGCGCACTTGTGTTGTTACTCCCAACCCAAAATGGAAGAAAACAAGTTTGATGGCTGTCCCCAAATGGCCAGATCGTTTGCACACTGCACCTGAACGCGTTTCAGATGTTTATGGTGGTAGTTCTGGCACTTTCAAGCACGATGATAGTAAATGGAAGGTCCGAGCAAAACACTACAAGAAGTTGCTTCCTGCAATTGGAACTGATAAGATCAGAAATGTCATGGACATGAACACAGTTTATGGAGGTTTTGCAGCAGCTATTATTGATGATCCCTTGTGGGTTATGAATGTGGTTTCTTCCTATGCTGCTAATACTCTCCCAGTGGTCTATGATCGTGGCCTGATTGGATCTTACCATGACTGGTAAAACAAAAGCATTGCTTCTTGTTTTCCTGCAATACTTTTTGGTCGGCATTTATACACTTGCACAAATGACACAACTTTTTGGTAACTTCCAATGGCTAATTTTGGCAGGTGTGAAGCATTTTCAACATATCCCCGAACTTATGATCTGCTCCATCTTGACGGCCTTTTCACTGCAGAAGGCCATAGGTAATGGAAGATATTGTGCTTTGAAAGTTCTTTCCGTGAATGGGATGATTGGAAAAAAAAAGTACCATTCAAGGTGTTTCTGACCATTTTGAATTCCTTGCAGATGTGAGATGAAGTTTGTGCTTTTGGAGATGGATCGAATCCTGCGACCCAACGGGTATGCAATAATTCGAGAGTCAAGCTACTATGTAGATGCAGTAGCCTCAATGGCTAAAGGAATGAGATGGGGATGCCGTAAGGAAGACACCGAATACAGCACCGAAAAAGAGAAGATGTTGATTTGCCAGAAAAAACTTTGGTATTCTTCTAACCAGAAATCAAGATGACAGACAGGAGATACAGAAGCTGGCCGAGTCGAGGTAATTATACTTTCAGAATCAAAGAGAAGCAAGTTCGATAGAAGCACAAAGAGATTAGTTTATTTTTACAAAATACTGGGGAAACTACGATATTTCTCCACTTGGTCGATTGAAGAATCAGGTACCAAATAATGTGGTTATATTTATTTTACAGGGCCTCTTTCATATAGATATATTCTTTTGTAAGGGAGCAAATTGTATTTGTCATTTTCAACTTTTCTTGTGTATCTTATTTCTGCTTCAATACTACTTTTTGTCGTCTACATTGAAGTAATTAATGGGTTGTTGAATATCAAAATATGGGCAACAGGGTTTCAAGCCACAAGCCCAATTCTCTTCCCCTTCAAAGAGCAGAAGATAAGCAAAAGGATTTGCTACAAACCATCTAATTTCTAAAAAGCAGGACATTTCAATTAGGGTGTAGGCTAAAAAAGATCAAATTGACCGAACTAACTTGTTTTAAGGAACAAATGTTGTTGGTTTAGTTTTTGATCGTCTTGATTGGTCTTTGTTAGTTAGGTTTAGGTGTTAGGTGGCTAAGTACATGTTAGCCGAGCTGAGCCAATTTTCTTATACCCGTTTAAGTGTTAGGAAGGTCATGAAAAGGGAAAGAGGAAGCTAGAAGAAAAGAAATGTAATTGAAATCACATGGATGAATGCTCCATTAAAACTAGGGTCAGTAAAACTCTGCCCCTGCAAGTGGGTCATTGCGGCTAAAGATTCAGGGTCAAATGTCAAGGCCGTAAATCTAGGAAGAGCAGTTTGCAATTGATGAACTGGCAACTACTTGGCAAGATAACCAAAATCACGTGACCAATGTCCCACAACAATTCAATCATCTTCAACTTCTTCGAAACTAGACTAAAAAAATAAAAATCCCTACAGCTTGAGCTAGCTACTGAAGATGAAAAGGACTTCTTGGATGAAATAAAACTCAGAAAGAGTAAATAATCTGCCCAATTATTATTAATGAATAAGGACAGTATATATACTATGTACAGAAAGAGAAAGCTAACTAACTCAAAGTAACAGACTGAACCAAATTTGTTAACTAACTCTAATAAAGATAATAAGGCAAGCAAATCAGATGAATATAACAAAGAAAGCATTGAACTACCCAATTTCAACCGATAAGAGGGATAACAGCGAACGGATTTATATTCAAGTATCTGAAATCAAGGATATATCTTCAAAATGTTCTAATATTTTAAAGTTTGAGGTTAATATGCTTTCATTAGTTGTATCAATACTTTATTCGCTCAAGCCTTCAAGATTCTAAATAAGCCATTTAAGAATTTTGTTTTGATCGCGAGGCATAGTGGAATTGGTACATGATGACGTTGACCGAAATTTATATCTGCCATTTCAAAGAAAATTGTATAACATGACCAGTAGAGCATTCATATGCATGATAGTTTTTATAGCGTAAATGTTTAAGTTGTGAGGAAAACAAACATATTGACACACTACTTGTGAGTCTAACGTGTAAAAATGAATATTGCAAGAAATTTGGATTGAACACCACATCTGGCTAGATAGTAGTGAACTTACTTAAGTAGAGGGTGTGGTCGAGAAACAGATGATGCCAAGCACAGTAATTGTTCTGAAAATTTAAAACGTAAGAATAAAATAAGATGCCAGTAGCATTAACACGAGAAGACATTAGTCAATTTAGTAGTTTTTATTTGACAGAAATCTGTATCAATTAAAGAGACATTGCTGAATCACTTGGCTAATTCATCGAGGATCCTAGTTACAACAGACGAGCAAGTCACCTAAATAGATTGGAAACCGGTTTTGCTTTAGTTTCTTGTGAGGGCCCTCTCATCCCCTGCCCTAGGTGATTTTATTTTTATTTTTTTGCTTTATACATAATTAATTGTTAAAAAAAATATTTCAATAACTTCTGAACTTCTAACCATCGTAGGAGGGCCTAGTGGTCAATAAGGACCAATGTAAATAGCAGGTGTCAAAGTGAACAAGTTCAAATCATGGTGGTCACCTACCTAGCATAATGAGTTTCTTAGTCAGCCAAATGTAGTAGGATTAGACGGTTGGCCTATGATTAGTGGAGGTGCACGCAAGCTATCCGAACACACGGATGTCGAAAAAAGAAAAGAGAACTTCTAGATTTCTACACTAAACTAAGAATTGCGTCGACAAGAAAATGTTAACATTTTTACAAGGAGATAATCCAGTTTAGCCCATACGAACCTGGGACACATGTACCAAAAAGAAAGACTACAGAAATTTCATCAATATATGTAGTGTAATTACTTCCGGAAACAAACACTTCTAAGTTATTAGGACCATAGAATTCTATCAGTTGACTTTTATAAGAACCGCGAGTTCTGATCGGTGAAGCAGCTAGGAAACGAGAAAAAAAACCATCATTTGTCATCTAGAGCATGTTCTTATTTTGTGATGTTGCAGTTATAATCATGTTGTACTCAAACTAAGTTAATAGACTCACCATCAAGTCACTTGATAGTGAGGTTAGGTGGACGGGATCCCGAAACGGCTGCGAAGAGCATCCATTGATCTCTCAAAGGATTGCGAAAGTTCAGTCACGGATGTTTTACAAGCTGCCAATGTGAAAGTGAAAAGACAAAGTTACAACCAAAGTTTCATATTTCAAATAACAGTTTCAAAAGTGAAAAATGAAAATACTAATTACAGAAACTTCATGTTGCATCATGATGTCTTAAAGCATTCCAATAATAAACTGGTCAGACTCAGCGCTAATAAGAATTTTAGAAAAAGGAATTCAGTACCTTGTTATTATCCGACTAACTTTATGTAAGGATTTGAAATTTGTTTATTAAGAAATTGAATACTCACTCGTATTCTAACTTCTAAGTAGTACTTCACAAGTGCTTTAACTTTTTAAGTATAAAAAGATATATATCGTTCCATTTAAATATTCTACTATAGACTCTGAAATTGTACTAATGAAAGGATTTCTGGGGGAGAGTGCAACGCAGCATCACGCTAATCATGATAAACCACCCAGAAAGTATATACTGATTGACATTGTTCTGGAGCAATCAGAAGTTAATAAGCGTCATTGCAAGATTTGACATACCGCGAGATGCACTCTCCTGTTCATGTGCCAAAAACTCTTCGTATGAAGCCTAAAAAGTAGACAATGAAGCAGAGTGAAATTTTTGGGACAGAAAATAATTATAATGAAAACGTTAGTGCAGGTTGGATTTTGAGGCACCTTCATTGCTTCCTGACTTTCACAAATTCTTCGGGACATCTTCTTATACTCCTTCTCTGCTTCATCCATCATTTGCTGGCATGTTTGACTTTGAATCTGTTAAGTTAATCAACATGACAACCCAAAATCATTGTCCTATTCATCCTTTCAGCTACATAAGCAGATCCATAGAGAAATTAATGAAATGATTCTACCTAAGATAAACTTTTCAATATTAGTGAAAAGTATTTAAGGATTGTCGGTACGTAGCCAATCAGTACATACAGAAACCTACTATATGTTTATTAAAGATTAATTGAACTATCCATGTCAAGCTACTTTATCTCGAGAAATTAAGCCTCCCAGATATATATGCTTTGGAATTATCAGTTTATTGATCTTCGAATCCGAAATTCACTAATGAGACGAATTCAGTTATTTGAGTTCCACTCAACTCCGACTGAAGTCGTGTAAATATAGCTTACAAGTCTGGCTATAAAGGTAAGGTACCAAAGTCATTGTAGTTTAAACGGCTGTAGCATTACGCATTTAAGCAAGACAGGGAAACAGAAGGATATAGTGCTCCATCCTGCCAAAATTTTTCACAACTGGCCGATGAAATCTTCGCTATCAGAACGACGAAAGCAGAATCACAATGATTAAACTAATTTAAAAAATATCGAACTAAAAGAACCTCCTCTGACCTAACTCGTATTCTCTGAACACATCGAAAGCTCGAGTTAAGGATTCTATCCGGCGGAAATTGCAGAGAAATATAAACAATAGCAAAACATAGCTGCTGCAGCTTTTAGTCATCTTCTAAATCATAAATCGGAGAGATAGATACCTTAAATCGCTTTTGGAGGCGTGAGTTCGAGGAGTCGAGATCTTTGACAATCTGTGAGTGAGAGTGATCAATGTGGCGCTTGAGATCGACGAGAAGCGAAGACGCAAAGTCCTTGAGATCAGATATAGTGCTCAAAGTATTTCGAGCAGGCGACTTGAAGAGACCGGCAGTGGAAGAACCTAGACCAGCAGCGACTCTGTTCTTCGCAACGTTGGTGTTCTCCGGTGAAGATAACTTCCTTTCATTGCTGTTTTTTGTGTTGAAGATCGTTGACTTTGGAGTGTCGGCGGACGGAGGAGGCGTTAAAGGCGGCGTTTCCAGAAGCTCCGCGGCTGAGGACCGGCGAGTTCGACCCCTCTTCTTCACCATCTTCGCTTTCGCTCAATCTCGCTCGCTCGGCGTGCGCTTGAAAATTGTAATAGCGATGGAATCGGGAGTGTCTTGTTAGCTAATTTGGCGGGACCAAGTCGTTGCATTATTCTTCCGTCGCTTTTAAACATATCTAATATATTTCATTTCTTAGAATTAATATTTCTCCAAAAACAAATATATATGGGTTAAATTACAATTTTTCTCTTCTAATTTCAATTTTTTTCATTTTACTTAAATCAAGATGATTTTAGTATAAACGTTTTTTCTATTTCAGTATTATTTTTCATCTCTTCGTTTTTTTTAGTTTTTCTCATTTCTTTAGATTACAATTTCAATGTTACACTATGTTCAGTATATTTTGTAGCCATAATTTTATATTAAATGCTTTCAATATGTAAAGAATTTGAGTTAAACTTTTATTGATATAGACACAAATAAATTTTGTTTTTTAAATATATGGATAAAAATAAACGTTTTGAAAGTATATTGAATAGAATGAACCAAAAATTGACATTTTAAAATAATGGAGACCACAATAATTTAAAGTCGAACGTACATTGACTATATTAAATTTTTTTAGTATTACTAAAATAGTATTTTAACCGTATATATGTGTGTGTATATATTGCATTTTAATTTTTTTTAGTATTACTAAAATAGTATTTTAACCATGTATATATGTGTGTATATATTGGATATACTTCTATTTGATTGAGTAAAAATCAATTTGAGAATATTAATTGTAACTACATAAATTATAGACTTGGATAAGTGATCAAATTGATACATTCGATCATTGAGTTTTTACTCTATAATTTTCATGGTCATGTACAAATTTCGAACAAATATAGATAAAAAACCAATTTTGTGCAAGTGAAAATGAAATATGAGTAAAATTAAGATAGGAAAATGTATCACTAGCACGAGCCCAACTCAATTAGTTAATTCAAGTATATGTCGTCAACTAAAAGGTTGTGTATTTGAATCCCATTTTCATATGTTGTTGCAAAAAAAAAATATAATCGATTGAATATTTATTGACTCGTTTATATCTAAAAGTGGGATGACGATTCGAACCTTTATTATCGAAATTTTTAATATTAATAAGTTTGATTTATGTCGAGGTTTGTAGTTTATTTATAAATGATACATTCTTAATTTTATTCTATGTTGTGTGATATATATTTTGAAACAAATATATAAATTATAAAGACTAAATTAAAGATTTTAAAACTACACTGACTAAATTGAATCCAATCAAACTATAAAACTATATTTAATTTATTTTAAGACTATAGAGACTAAATTCCTAATATAATTTTTTCCCAAATAAATTAATATAAATTTTTATCATATGTTGACACGTTGTCATGTTAGAATATCTCAGTCACTTCACTTTTAGTTCTGTGACTAAATTGAAGATTTTAAAGGAAAATTAACTATAAATATATTTGTAAAAAAATTGTAAAACCAAAATAGATATTTATTGAAATTTCATATGCAGAAGATTCTCAAAGCCAAGGATACAAACTCCCTTTTAAAAGAAAGAAATTAATATACCTACTACTACGCTTAGATTTATTAAATTTGTTGCTAAACTAAAATTTTAGAGGAGTTAAGATAGTTATTCATCATAAATTAAAAAAAAAAGTTCGACCTGAATACTCATGTATTAAAAAAAAACCTCGAACTTTATAAAGGTATTTTATAACCAAATTTACACGTTTTTTGTTTGAAGTAAAAAAAACATGATTTATTATGAACATTATCCAAATTAGATACCCAATTTTAGGTGTTAAAATACGAAAATTTGAGTGGATTTTGGTGAGAATTTATGTTAAACTTTAAAATTGTGTTATTCAAAATTTCAAATTTCAAATTTACATTTTGTTCAAATATCGTATTTTCTCATTGTTTGTGAGTCGTGGGGCATGAAGATTGATTATCTTTGTTACTTTTTATTTTTTCTTCTTTTTCGATTACACTGTTATTTTTCTGGTTTGATTTTTATTATTATTATTTTTTATAAGATGTTTGTTTGTTATTTAATATTTATGTTATTTATTATATGAATTACTAAAATTTATGGGGGAAAAAAGGAAACCAGAAAACAGAATTTAACGCCTCAAACAAGTAAAAAGATAATCCTATTTAGTTAGAACAGAAGAAGAATAGCCGCGAGCTGGTCGCTTTCAGACGCTCGTTTTATCTATTCCCGAATAACCAGCTCCCGCCATTCATGAGGCGAATTTTGCAGCGGTAAAGAAACACTGCAATTGAGTGAAGAACGATTGCACTACTTGAAGCAGATTTTTATGGTGTGCGAATACTTAATCTCATGCCTTCGCTTGTTTTTGGTATAATCTGCTGGAATTTTGTTTGTAGGTTTCAGTTGTTAGTTAGAGAAGCTTTTATTGCTCGAATTTTCTGTCTCGTATATTGCTTATTTTTTGTTTTTACATGCTTGATTGAAGATTTGGTGCTTGTTTGATTAGAAATGGAGGAAGGGAGCGAGAAATAGAGTTTTAGAAGGAGTTGGAAAGTTTTATTTCAGGAGGATAGATACCTTATACTTGTATCTAGTTTTACAAGGTAATCTGATCGGTTCGAACATTTTGCTGTCGCCGAAGTTTTAATGTTTGAACGAGATGCACGGCTGTTTACCTGTTATTGAAAATTTCAACTCGGAGCTAATTGTTTACTGTGAACACCGAACTGAAATCATAATATTGAGAGGGTGTGTAACAATCTTCTGGTGTTCTTTGAATTCCTGATAGCAAACCTCATAGGCATGGTCTATAAAGTAACCAGGAAGCATTACAGACATTAGTGCATTCTAGTTCAGAAACGAGATATGCATCGTCTTTCACCCCAATGTTGGTGGATTTATCCCTTTTGGCGTCATTGAGTTGAGCCTAGATTGTGCAAAAGCTTATTGGAAGTTTAATCAGGCTGAATAGATTGCTCCAGCCAGCTCCAATTATGGGCTGTTGCAACTTTTGTGTTTGGAGCAATCATCCGTTAATTTACACATGCATCTTCGTAGTTCTTCACAGTTGGGAACCATACTATTTTATCCAAGCTCGAGCTTTATCCATTCACAAATTGCATTTTCCCTTTTGGCTCTCCTATTCAACACATAGTCTCTTGAACGCAATGCATAGTAGTAAATTTAGGCTATTCAGCAAAGAAGCTGTAAGGTAAAAAGGGCGTAAGCATACAAAAGCTGCCCAACCTTTTTGAGTGGGTTGGCGTCTCTCCCCTAGTTCAAATTCCTGACACAGAAACAGACATATCCCCAGCCATACGCTTCCACACCTTACGCATATATACACCCCCGAACCCTCTAGCCAGCTGCTGGGGTGAATTCCCCTCTTTACCCTTCCTAGTGTAAGTATTTATTTACTATATAGGTTCTCACTGAAGCAAGTCTAGACTCCTACGTTCTTCATGTGAATATGTTGAATACCAGTGATATTTTGTCAAAATGTCAAAGTTGAAGCTGATTTTGATCGTATAACGGTTTGGTCGTGTTTGGTAATTTTAGTTTTTGATAGTTTATATTGCAGTCAGAGTTCTTTTTACGAGCGTGTGTGTATCCCTTTCCTAATCTAGTTTTGTTTAAAAAAAACTTTTGAAATCTATAATAAATTTACTGGTTAAGTGGTATATCTTATGTAGTTATATTAGACATCTTTGTAGGGATATTCAGGCACTGATCTCTTAAAAGGTAGCTGATATGACATGAAAGCATGAACAACCTCCTTTTTTCTTTCTGCTCCTACCATTTAAATCCAGCATGCTTGGAAGTATAGTAAATCAACTAATATTAAACTATTGCTTCTAAGATAGTCTTCCGTTCTTGTACTAATTTTAGGGGTTCAAATTGTAGGTATCTTTTGTCTAAAGGTTTTCCATATTTTCATCTTTACGTTAGGTAGTGTTGAATATGGTATGGGTGAAGTTTGCGAAACCTGTAGATGAATTCTCTTTATTTTCTGTAGTCTATACTTTCGAGGAAGCATAGAGGTTTCGATTAGAACTATTTATGTTTAATTGATGCCATATCAAATATTCTGATTGGAGCTTTTGAAAAACATTTGATGAGACCATGATTTCTTTAATATCTTCAACTAGGTTGTCATGATTATAAAAGGCTTATTCAGGAGGTATGAAAGATGGAATCCTGTACATCCGACTCTTGGGGCCTTTTGGGGGATGGGAATAGGCATTGGTTGTGGTGTTGGATGGGGTCCTGGTTTTGGTCCTGAAGTAGTTGGTTATGTTGGTGCTGGCTGTGGCATTGGATTTTGTGTGGGAGTAACAGTTGCTGGTCTTGGCATTGGTCTTCCAGCAAATGCGCTCTATCATGTTCCTTACAGTGGTACACCATCCTTGGCATCTTTGTTCTCATGCCCCATTATTCTCTAAACATCACCAATACTAAAAAGCGTATTTTACAAAATACTCATGTTGGTACTGCTTAAGAGAATGTTTTGACTATTTAGGTAATCTTTCGATTGTAGTCTCTAATTAAACAATTGATGGGCATACTAATTTCCAGCAATCCTGGCCACAAGAAGTGGAGCAGTGGAATTAATCCAATCTAGCAGTCTTCGATCTGCAAAATTTTCTGTTAGATATGGATGGAGCGACATTACACAGCATATACTTGGGCTACAAAGAGAAGCAAGTCGACGATTAACAAGCATCAAGCAGGAGTGCTTGGACAAAAAGATTAATTTACCTGATATGAAGAGCTTACCAGCCATACCAACTAGGTCTATTTGTGAAACTTTAGGATCATTAGGTAATCGCCTCTCTCACATTCACAAAGGTAATCTATTATATGCTCTTTTTGCATCTTCAACAAGTACCAGAAAATTACTAGCCTGTTAGGAATTTGAATTTCTTGTGATCAATTGGATTGGAATGATGTGTTTCCTGAATTCTTCATTGTTTTTCTTTTGTCTCGGTTATTTTTTCTCTCTTGCTGGGGGAAGGGTCTCATGGTGGAATTTGATATTTTAGTTCTCTTCATAATCCAAAAATTTTCATTTAAGACGTGATATGGTTTGGTCAAATGTCTCACCAAGCTTTATCAAGCTGAGCACCATGCATTATTCTAGCTATGGTTTCTCAATTGTGCTTGAAGCTTGAAGTCTCCAGTAGAACTGATTGCAACAGTTACCGTGATAGGACTTCAATAGGAAAGTTGCACTGAGCTGTAAGGTATTCACAGAAAAATATTAGGAATTTGGAAGATGCTCCCAACCCTACCTTGAGGCTCAGCTTTCCCTGCCCACTTCATGCTTCTCTCCGTATTTAATATCCCTTTACACATATCTCCAAATCTGCATATCTCCAAATCTGGTGAAGATAACTCACCTCATGATCGTTCAACCGAGATTGGTTACTGTCAGTAACGCATAGCGATTAGGGAGTCGCTTCAGCAACGGAGAAGTCTTTTAAGTGTTTTGCCTCTTATTTTGAAGTTATTCATTAAAAAAAACTCAACAAGTTACCAGCCTTAGACTTGAGTCTCGACCGACCTTCTCGGATAATTACTTTCATGGTTGTGTTGGTGCATTTGGCTTTGGCTTTCAATATTTCATGCCATATACTAAATGGACACCAAGTATTTTTCTGTCTTTATTCTTTGTATAATTGTGAAATATTAGATGATCACTTACCGTCAACAATATTTCTTTAGGATATATAAATTGCAGTTTCTTCATGTAATAAATAGTTGTAACTTGTGAAAGCTGTCTCTCTTGCAGGTTCAAAAGATTAAAATATTGAATGCTGAGCTATACTGATTAGTTGTTCATATCTCCAGCTACAGTAGAGTGAGTAAAAACCCAGTTGTTCCTCTTCCTTGGCTTTGGCTGCTACTCGCTTAGCAATATTTATTTGTAGAATATTCAATATTGTATGATCTGGTTTTGGTCACACTTTGGAGTGTAATCAGATCATTTCGAGTTATCATCTTTTCTTTTTGGAGCCGAAATTTATGTCGAATTACGTCTAGCAGTTTTGGAGTAGGGGAACCGATGTCGATTTACTCTGACCAAACTAACTTTCCAACTAAAACTAACCACCAAATTTATCATATTGAATCCATCTAAACTAACCAAATTTATCCAAATCGATTTGACCAACAAATTTTTCTTTATGAAATTGAATCGTGTTCAATTTCATAAACTAACTCAATTTGATCAGTTTTATGGTCTTTTTCTTCTCAGTTTCGGCTTGCAAAAAAATTTGGATTTACCTATATCATGGTCTAGGAAACTATGGTGTAATTTAAGAATTGTTTTGATTTGTTTTAGAATTTTTAGAAACTCTTATTTCCATGAGCTCATTGTGCGAGTCACTCTGTCAACCAGTTTATTCGAGAGATTCTCTAAAAAAAAAATAATAATAATAACAATAAAAATTTAAATTCAAATACTATTGGGGTCCTGTATGACTATTTTATTCTGTTCTCCTTTTAAAATATCTATTTGGTCTTTTTACTTTTAAAATAATCATTTTAACATCTGTATTTTTAACTTTTGTTAATTTTAATAACTATACTTTTAAAATGGGTTATTTTGGTCTTTATATTTTTTAAAAAATATCACTTTAACTCTTTCATTTTTATTTTTTATCTCATTATCATTTTAACGTGGCATTTTAATCATTAAATTTCTTGAAATTTAGTCATAAATTTATATTAAATAATTTGTATTAAAATTTTGTAAAGAATGATAAATTATTCCCTATTTAAAAGGATGAGGAATAAAATATAAAATTTGAACCTACATGATCAAACTGAACAAAAATTAGCACTAATCAATTTGAATATTTTGAGAGTAAATAGTATAAAATAAACTATATATATATATATATATATATATATATCTTGAGACAAAATTAGTATTTTACCCAAAATTTAAAATAAACGTAATCTTGATGTTCTTGAATTTCGTCATTTTATTCTGCTTCAAACGAACGCTGCCTAAGAATAAAACTGACCTTCGGAATTAGCTCAGGGCCATTATAATAATTAAACAAACCTTTTGACCTGTCCGTTATATATACCTAAAATGTGGGGCCTTTCGTAAATTGAGCAATTACATGTCTGTTTAACTTTCATATAAGTTTGATTAATTTTTTATAGACCATTATAAAAATTAAAATTAAAAAATATCAAAAAATAAAAACCGAAAAAAATCATGTAAATAAGGCTGAGGGTATATATTTTTCCCTTAATTTAAGAGTTTTTTTTCCATGTCCCCTCATTTATTAAAACTCTAGGTTTCTTCAGTCATCTCGCTCTTCGAGATCTTTCATTCCAAGTCTTACAGTACATTCATGTAGCAAGATTCATATCGGCTCCAATGAAAAGGAAAAAAAGGCGTTAAGAAACCCTCATGGCCCACCCTACTTGTAAGTTTGGATAGAAAAGGTGGGAGATCCCTATTAGATTTGACTAATATCCCATCCTACCAGTTTGATGAGCCTGCATAGTGTTAGGTAGTTGGTCAGGTAAAAGTTGACCTAATAGAAGTCAAGTCCTTTGTCTAAAAAAAAGGTGTGGAACCTCATCGACTTTGCAAGTAGACGAGAACGGCGCCAGGCGAGGGCGTCGCTATGCCCCACAATGTTCAACCATAATCCTCGCAACGCCTACGCCACTACATGTTGAACTCAAATCATTTCGCAATGCTTGTATTCATACCATCATTCGTGCATCACAAAAAGTTAAACTTAAAGAGTAAATGATGATTTAATGCAAGAATAATTAAGTTTGAAGTATTAGATGTGATAAATTAACATACCACTTATCGACAAAATACAAATTTTATTCACTTCACATCACCAAACCAGTAATAACTTACTTAACGAAAAATGATTAGTTATAGTAGGAAAAACATTGGTATACTAATATTGAAAACATTGTAAAGATTATCATTTATAAATTCATATTATCATTTTTTTTGACGTTTAGATAATTGGAAAGACTTAACAAAAAAAAAAAAGACCATGAGAGAAAATAAAAACTTCAAAAATATTATGCATGAAATTGGATAAAGAAATGGAAATAAATATATATTTAGCCCGCAATTTAATATTTTTTCTTTTTTGTTTTTTTGCAAATATCTAAAATTTGGACCATTTCTCGTATAATTCTTGTGAGGGACCAGGCTAATCTCCTCGTTATCGTCCCAATTTTATCAATCATTCAAAGAGTAGTAAAATAAAACACAAAAAAAAGAAAAGAAAGGGAAAAAAAAAACTCTACAATAGCTGGAAACAATTACAGGGGCATGTTTTAGATTCTCCGAAATTAGAGGGGAAATCATGCAAAAAGATAGAAGTTAGCGCCTTTTTTTTTTCCTTCTCCAACCCAACGAAACGAAACAACGCGAAGACCAAAAACAAATCCAGCTTTCGCTTGCTCGCGCGCTCCCCGTTCCCTGAAGCGATGAGTCTCTTCGGTCTAGGCAGGTAAAGTAGAACATTAAGGATCTTTTTTATGGAAATTCCCTCGTGGAAGCAATCAATTTCTTTATCGTTTTCTTGTTCCTCTTTCTGGTGATTCCGAATTTAGCTGCTTCCTTGATTTTGATGGTTTGACTGGAATCGTGGATTTGCTCTGTCCAGCTTCATCAGATCTGCTGCCTTGTTTGCCCCATTTTGAGTGTGAAATTGATTCTTCTGATGTGATTTGGGCATCTTGATTTCTAGTTAACGTATTGATTTCCCATGCATGCGCAGATGCGTTATGCGTGTGGGTTGATTTCAATTTTAATATGTTTGAATTGTATCAAATTGCCGTATCGTACATGCTTGTCTTTCTCCTGTGAAATTAGATTCTCGTATCTTTCTGCGAGAAGCAACTTTTTGCATTTCTTTTTCTTTCGATGGATTCTTCTATCAATTCCGCGATGGGCGATTCAGTTGGTAATTTATTGTTTTTTCTTATGCAAATGAGTTATCGTGTGTTCATTTGTGAGTGTGTGGAAAGCAGGTAGTGATTGACAATTTGCCCTTGAATGTTGAGTTATCGTTGTTTGTTATTTTTCCCCGGGCCGACTGTGATTAAGCCAGACAAGTATAAATGCGGCAGGGACTTGAATTTCAGATATTATGTCAGACAAGTAAGATTATGATGGGTGGAGGACTTCCAATTTAGGAAGGTAATCTATGTGGGTCGGAAATTGGAATGAGTTGAATTTCTTTTACATAATTTATAGGCTTTAGATGTTTTAGATTACTTGTGGATAGATTTCGAGTACAAAGGCAGGGATCGGGAAGAAATTGAGACTGATTTCGGCCTTCCTTGGTACAATCTCTCTAATCTGTTTTGTAATTACAACTTTGTTTGGTTGGTGCGAATTGCAGTAGCTTTTCTTATAAAGAACTTTTCCGGCCTTGGGTGAGTTGATTTCTTATCTGCACCTGTTTCCTTATCTAAAAAAAAAGATATCTTATCTGCACATCCCAAATTTAGTTTTTTTCATCGTTAATTATAAGTTTCTTTCTTGGGTTATAAAATAACTTATATATAAAAGTATTTATCTGAAGGTTAGAAGGTTAGAAAAAACCTGGTCAGGACTATTTTGATTGATTTGATTTCTTAAGGAGGATCCCAGATAACAAGAATAGTATGGAGTATAATGCTGGCCGAGCATTACTTGCAACGTAGAAAGTACCTGGATGGCAACGTGGCACCATCAAACTTATGCTATAATTGTCTCTTATCTCTTATCTTGCTCTCATCATTCTACTGATGTCATCGCACCCTTATTACTCTGACCCGGCGAAATGTTCTTGTTGATATTGGTGTTTGATTGTGTTATTTATGCCTTACTCATATATTCTGTCTGTAATACATCCTACAAAATCGTTTTGCAGCAGAAATCAAAGGACTTTCCGCCCAAAGAAGACTGGACCGACAGGGAGTAAGGTTTGCCCTCCCCATTACTTCTAAAAACATTGAGTTTATTGTACTCCATCGTTGGTTGTTCGAATGTAAGTCATCTTAAAGTTACACTCTTTATCTGTTAACTACTTCTTCTATGTTGAGTTGAGGCTTATTAAATGTGGCACATGCCGAGTTTTCTTAACTTTTGGGCGCTTCTTGTAATAAGTGCATCTGCTTTGTTTCAAACAGCCTTCCAACTATATGACATGTTTTTCACGGACCTATTTGCTTTGATTATATTCCTTGAGCAAAACCACCTATGGGGTTTTTCTCATTAGAAATTATATGTCAATAGTAGACAAAATAGAGCAACAGAGTTGGAGAGAATGTCCTAGATATAATAGCCAATTGTAAGATGGATGATCCCGACCTTTTCAATACTTTTTGGCATCAGGGACATTGCCTGAGCCTTTTCTTTCAGTGAGGATAATCGATATTTATCTTTTCTTTGAGCTACTGATGGAAGTTGACGATTTAGTAAACTTTTACTTCAGACGTTGCATTGATGGGGGTAAGAGAATCGGGGCATAGAAACAAACTTTATGCTGAAACAATTGGAAATTAATGGTCTCCCCAAATCACCTGCTGATTCTTTCAATTATTTGGGGATTTGTCAATGTTCCTTTAGCCTTGCTGGAAGGATCTTATCTTAAGTCAAGATATTGGTTCTCAGGAAGAATAAAGGAAGAAAGTTAAGAAAAGAAAAGGAATGATGTTCCCCACGATATTTTCTTCTGGACTTCTATAGAGCCGTCTGAAAATTATGGACTAGGACTCAGTTTTTATGTCTCTATGGGTTTTCATAACTTTTGAAATATGGTTTTTTATCTGCGAACTTGGAAGGCCTTTTTGCACTCGATTTGTTCTTTTGTTTAGGATTTTTTTTTTATCAAGGTTTGGAGTTTGGAGTTTGGGCTCACGTCCAACTAAACTACCTTACTCATTCTTTGGAAACTAAACTGAGTTAGAAAATCCATGATTACCATGGTCATTTGCTTTCTAGTTGTCCAGTTTAAAGACCATACCATTTATCTCATTGTTCAAATCCGTTCTTAAGACTTCCTTGGTGGAAAAAAATCAACCATAGATTGCATTTCTTTATGATATAGATTTAGTTTCACCTAATTTTATTTATGTGGCCATCTGTTAAAGTTCTAAGTCGAGCTGTGATATATCTTCTTGTTCTAAGTGATGCAAATCTTCAAATGTGAGTCACTGGAAATTTGTTTTTCTCTCTGTGAAAGTCATATCTTACCATCGCTTCTCTTGATGAGTTGTCTCTTAAAAATTTTATCTTATTGCAGGGGGCTCAACTCAGAAAGCATATTGATGCCACACTTGGTAGTGGAAACTTGAGGGAAGCAGTTAGACTTCCAACTGGGGAGGATTTGAATGAATGGCTGGCTGTTAACAGTAAGCTGTAGATTCTGCCTTCTTTGCGCTCTCCTTCCTTCTGCCATCTTTTCCGTTTTGTGATAAATTATTTTCTATGGATTGTTTAATGGTTTCATTTCTGTAATGTTTTCTACAGTCCTCATGTAGTATCATAGCTTCTGGTTTCTATATCACTCCTAAACGCTTTCAGCATTTTTCTACGTGCTTAATGAATACACATTCTTTCTCAAGTTGTCACATTATCTGTGAAAAGTTTTATTCACAATTTCTATTTAGTGAGGATTTCTTATGTAAAATAAATATCTGAAATGTGGTTGAATTTTTATTTCAGCTGTGGATTTCTTCAACCAGGTGAATTTGCTATATGGTACCCTCACAGAGTTCTGTACTCCTGAGAATTGTCCTACAATGACTGCAGGACCCAAGTACGGGATATTGGATAAATTGGCAACCTTTTTTTTTTGCTGATGTTTTAGACAAATTAGTTTGCAGGATGTTTATTTGAATTTCAAATTATTCGAGCTTCTAATTTCGAATTTCCCCCGTGCATGATTACATTTGTTATGTTTTCTAATTATAGGAATTTCTCAATTTGGTAGTGTATCCTTTGCTGTATTATATGAATCATACAGAAAAAAATTAATATTTTAGTTGATTTATTTCATCGCGTTCTGATTCTATTGCTATTATAGATATTTGCAACAAGTGTTGACGTAAAACTTTTGATACATCTCTCTTTGTTTTGAAATGTTTCTTTTAAATTCTAAATACGGCTTCACTTTTTAACCCATATCATTTAAAACCTTGTCCGTATCAAGAAAGTCTGCCTATCTCGATGTGCAAAAACGGGACTTACTTATCTAATATCCTTATAATCATTTATTTTTTTATGTTTATCTGTAGTTTGTATGCGAAGTTTTTCTTAACTCTTCATCCTATTCTATTTCTGAGAAGATTTAAATTAGAGCTGTCTAGGTAACGCATATAAATTTTTACAGGTACGAGTACAGGTGGGCTGATGGTGTACAAATCAAAAAGCCTATTGAAGTGTCTGCTCCAAGATATGTTGAATATTTAATGGATTGGATTGAATCTCAGCTTGACGACGAATCAATATTTCCTCAAAAGCTTGGTAATCATTCATATTTGCTAAAAATTTCCCAGTTCCCAGTCTCGTTATTATTCATTGTTCAATGTCCTTTGTTAGGTACACCATTTCCTCCCAACTTTAAGGAGGTCGTAAAAACGATATTCAAAAGGTTGTTCCGTGTATATGCCCACATTTATCACTCTCACTTCCAGAAAATTGTGAGCCTTAAGGAGGAAGCACATTTAAATACATGCTTCAAGCATTTCATACTCTTTACCTGCGTAAGTCACTTATTCAAATTAACTTATTTTTATATTTATTGTCACTGCTATTAGTATCTTTTTTTTCAAAAAATAAAATATTCTCTTAACCTATTCAACATTACATATCAATTTAAAATTAAGAAAAATAATGTATTGGCTCTCTGCCTTACATTCTATGTTCGGTCCTGGCAACTAGTTTGCTTGATGTTTACAAGGTTTCTGTTTTATATGTTGGTTGCTTTGGTCCAGACTCCATATAGCTTATGGAATTCTTCATACATAATCATTTCGTTTTTAGTTTTCTACTTTTTTTTTTTTAATATGCTTGTTTTTATACAATTTCATTAGTTATTCACTTCTCTAAATGACATTTGAATTTTTAACCAAATTAAAAAGAAACAACAAAATTTTTTTAAAAATTATTATTAATTTTTTTGTTTTCAAAATTTAGCCTAGATTTTTGAAAATATTTATAAAAGCGAATAACAAAACATAGGACCACATCTATGTTTGTAAGCTTAATTTTTAAAAACTGAAAATAAAAAACAAAATGGTTGAAAATAAAAAAAACAAAATGGTTATCAAATGGAGCCTATAATATCTGTTTTTTTTAATACTAACATGTGGGAGTGGGGATGTCAATTCACGATCTTTTGGTCGGAGATAGGTGATTTGAATTCATAAACTTTTGGTCGGAGATAGATGTCTTAACTCTATGTTCACAAATAAACCCTATAATTTGTTGTGGTTGGTTTTCTAATGTACTGAATGAATTTGTAACTTGTTGGTAGAATTCATATAGAAATTAATGTTGGGAAGAAATGATTTATTGTTCACTCTTGATGGTGTTTCCAAATTGTCAATACTGCAATTATGATTTTTGGTTAGAACACCTGTATCTAGTATGAACATTACTTATTCATCATAAACTTTGCGACGAAAAAGAATCTAATTTGATCCGGTTTCACGTGCGATTTCTCCAGGAATTTGGTTTAATTGACAAAAAGGAGCTGGCTCCACTTCAGGAGCTGATTGAATCGATTATTGTTCCTTACTGAACAGGGTTTGCTTTGCATAACTGGGGGAAGATCCTATTCTAGGGACAGCTAATTAATAAAATAATCAATTGCTTTCTGCATTTTACTGTAATGTCTGTGTATGTGGCGTTGTTGTTGTGTGTAAATGTTTCTGTATTTGGATATTTTAAGGTTGTGGATGCTTTGATGCTTCTGCTGTTCCCATGGGCCAAGCTGATTAAAGAAAACCAGCTTCTTGATTCAAAGGGAAATGAAGTTGAAGGCTTGCTAGTTTAATGTCTCACATGAGATTGCTTTTCAGTAGAGGTAAACTGTTTGGGGTGGTAAAAATGTTGCCTTTCCATCTTTGAACTACATTTTAAAATTTTTACTATATGTATTTATATGTTCAGAGCATGGAGTAAAATTTCTCTCATGTTAGCATATTCCCATCTAACGTCTTCATACATTGATATGATGCCGTGGAAATGTCGAAAATGTCAAAAACTGCAAAAGGATGTCGTTGAGATATCGATTGCCGATTGGAGGCTTACTTTTAGTTGATTTGTATGACTCTTGTGATTTTAGAGGTCTGTTTGGTGACATTCTTACTTTTTGCTTCTCGTTTCCTCTTTTTGAATCTAATGGAATTGTATTTGGTAATGGAATTTGTCTCTAGTTCTTTTTTATCCTTATTGGAAAAAGGAACAGATGGTGATATTTCTTGAATCTTGTTTTCTAAAATTCTAAATTTAAAAAGTAAAGATTTTATTTCAAAATTAAAATTTCAAATTAAAGATTTATAAGTAAAAAATGATAAAATAATGTTTTTATCCGTGTTTTGAAAAAAAAAATTAAAAATGGGGAACAAGAGTTTAAAATTTGTACATATAAATGTTTCTAAAAAATAAGAAACAAGAATAGTTTTGAATGCTCGTGAAATACAATTTAGAAACGTTTCTTAAAAATGAGAAACAGGAAACAAAAATAGTTACTAAATACTTTGAAAACACAATTTTAGAAACGTTTCTTTAAGACGAGAAATGAGAAACAAAAATAGTTATTAAACATTTCTTTTAGACGAGAAACAAGAAACAAGAATGGTTATAAAACGCTCATGAAACACAATCTTACATCTTTATTCAAATCCGACATTGGATAGGTACATCGATATCATAATTGGGTAGGGCAGTCGGGGAAGGAAACATAACTGAAATAAAATGAATGTGGTTTTATTTTGAGGGTTTATAATTTGGCAGGTGTTAAAAGCCTAAAGGTAGCGTTTCATGTAATCCTCAGCAGTTGTGTAGTTGATTTCTGGATACAGATTGCAGGCTTCTTCACCATCCTTCCCTATTTCAAAGTTTGCCAGACAACCCTCATAGCATACATCATAATAGTGACTTAGCCCAACTTGCTCTGCGTAGCTAATTTCACCTATTTTTTATTTCCCAAAAAAATAAAAGAAAAAAGAAAATTTTCACTTTACGGTGGTGTTGATTTAATTCTTACCACTTTAATTTATCAATCTTTATCATTAATGAGTGATGCTAAATAATAACAGAAAACTAATTGATATGATAGAAAGAGAGGGAAAATGAATGATGATAGAGCTGACCTTTGATTTTTGCAAGAAATTGGTGAGCAGAAATGGAGGTCTTTGTGAGCTGCTTCCCAATTAATTTCTCCCAAATCTCAACAACTTCTCTTTGTGATAATATGTTCTTTGGTGGCCTAATGTACACTGTTTTGTTCAGAGTTCGAGGGTCATCAATGGTTTTCATGGTATACATTGCAATGTCATCTTCATCCACATAAATTGCTGTCACAATTTATCACAATTATATTAGTACAATGTGTTTACCCAACGACTTAAAAAAAGTGCTTTTTAAATAAATATATATTTTCTCTACCACAACAAAACATTCGATAATAAATAAATAAAAATTAAATTAATTTAAGATCTATTTTTTAAGAGACAGTTGGGATGACTATCTAAAAAGTTATTTCAAGTGATTGATATTCTAATGTTTAAATTAAAGATATACCAAACTCATCCTAAGTGTGAAATGACAGTTTCTATGAAGAGAGACTTTCACAGTGAAAGTCAGATAAATATGATATGCAAAACCAACCTAAGCATAATTAAATTGAATAAAGCTTTAATAATCTCTCTAAAAGTCTGTCTCAAATTAAAAAGAAATTAAGATTTTAAAGTTGCTCTCTTTAATTTGACCTCTCTAAATTACTTTCGAAATTGAAAATTTATATATATGAAAAGTTAGAAGGTACAAAAAATTTCTAGCTCCGCCCTAGATTTGTTCTTAGGCTGGATTTGAATCCTCACTCCACACATTTAGTAGCTAGTAAAAGAAACATATGATGTGTACATGTGTATATATGTATGTATTTGTGTATATGTATAGGTTTAGTTACCTTTTTGGTTGGCATCTCCAAGGAGGAGAACATGATCTTTGGAGGGAAGGATGGAACCAGGCTGACACAAACCACCAAGAAAGTAACCAGCAAAGCAATTTGCAGAGATGTAAGTGAAGGGAATTTTAGCCTCTTCTATGGCTTTCCTCACCACCATTTTATCATCAAATGTTGCTCTTCCCGGCTCCGTTGCATTCTCCATTCTTGCTGGATCCGTCCCGAACTCGGATGGCAAAAATCTCTGTACAAAATACAACAATAACTACTTTATAATCGTATTAGGCATTATGATCTTGTGTTTCCTTTTGGTATTTTAATCCGAGTAGAAAATTTTTGAAAAAAATTCTAGTACGTACTATCGTGTATCTACCACTTCTACCTACAATTTGACGTATCTTTAAGTAATTTATTATTTTATTTCATGGATTCTATACATCATTCTTAAATGTTGTTGATGCGGCAAACAATACCGTCGGTGAAAATAAGTTTTCATACCACTAGCTAGCTAGAAAGTTTCCTAAATTTACTCATGAGAGTGTGGTTGTGCATTGAAAGGGGGAGAGATCTTACATGTGAGAGATGGTATTGTGTAATTTTGCATGTGAGAGAAGGAAAAAAAAATTAAATTAGAAATAGGGAAGGGGAGAGAGAAGATCAAGGGGAGTGATAATAGGGATTTGGAGAGACAATGAGAAAAATGGAAGAGAGTGGCACTCCTTTGTTTACACTATACCTTTTTCTCTATAAATAATTATTCCATGCGGATTTGAATTCAAGGTTATTTTTAAATGATGTTGATACGGTCAAGAGAACAATATCTATGGTTATCGTAATAGCCTATTTCAGAAAGCTGGGTGTACAATAATGCACACGAAGTTTTGGTAAGAATTTGGTTGGGGGACCTRGGTTATTAATATTCAAGAGTTTCATCTTAAAACTAATTGACAATAAGATGAGGTAGTAACTCATGTCTATTATAAACTTTTGTTAGGTCTATTTTCTTTGTTAAGAGTGAGCAAAAAGCTCTAAAAAACCTATCCGACCGATCAAAACTGACCGAATCAACGTCGATCGATCAATTTGATGAAAAATCTGGTAGGAATCGATTTCTTAATTATAAAACCTATCTATTAGTCGGTCAGAAAAATGATTTTCAACTGAACCGACCGACATGTGTTGATTTAAAAGAAAAACAGACTGCGTCATGCATGCTGCAGCGAAACTGCACTGCAGCAGCGCATTGAAAACCAACCACACGAATAGTTTTCAAGGTACGTTTTAGAAAAAAAAAATTTAATTTTTTAATTTTTTAACTTTATATAAATTTGTTTCCTTTCCCCTCTTTCTCCTCTTTCACTTTTGTCTTTTTTCCTTCTCCTTTCCTCCCTCGCCTCGCCACACTTCATCTTCCTCATTCTTCTTCTTCCCAGGCTCTCCATTTTTCTTCTTAATATTCTTCTTCATTTTTCCTTCATTTTTCCTCTTCCAGTATCTTGAATCGCACTGAAGCTCGCCTACCGTCTAGATCTTTCTCTACTTCTTTTTCTTTTTTGTTTTGGGCAGAAATCAGTCATGGCTCCAATATTGTCACCAACGGCGCCACGACAAAAAAAATGTTCACAGAAACCGAGGAAATCGATCGACCGAAACGACGGTCGGTCGGTGGAAGCCGTCGTAATAGAAAAGTAGCGTTGGGGTCAGCAAAAAACCGACTCCAACCGATCGATGCTCACCCCTACTCTTTGCCTGCTCTGATCATGATTCACTTGACTCATCGATATTGTTCAGATTCCATACTCGTTTGAACGTTTGCAGTTCTGACACCATATGAGTATTAATATATATATACATTACATACAGAAGGGGGAGAGAGAGAAGGAACCTTGATATTTCCAGCCTGTTTAATGGCATCAACAAGTTTGAGTTGAAGAAGGATTTGATGGGATCTGATATGAACACCAGAAATTGCAGAGATGACAACATCCACAAGCTTGACAGCCTCCACAAGGGTATTATGGTCATTAAAAGAAGCACAAACCAAATGGGCTCCTTGTTTCTTGAATGAAAGAAGAAGCTCCACTTTTTCAATCTCAACTCCCATTTCTGCCCTCTGTAAAACATATGTTTCATGCCCTAATCCCAAACTTGCCCTCACCAATCTCTTCCCCAAATACCCTGTTCCTCCCACTATTAAAACTTTGCTCTTCCCCATCTCTC